TATATATGAAAAAGCTAAGTTGAACTGTGTACATATTTGGGTTTAGACTTTGTAAAACTCTCAGCTTTACTGGTGATCGCTGTAGAGAAGGAAAATCAAAACTTTCTCCATGTATACAGATGCCATAGTGGGCGTTTCCACTCCTATTTTATTCGACAGTTTCCAATTATTGAAGATTTCAGTATCAAGGGGTGGTTTTTGTCAGCAAATGTGCCTAAAATAATTTTTCAAATCTTAGTAGGGAAGCAAGTTGTCTTTTTTAGGTCCAGATGTTTTCTCAGGATGACACAGAGTCTAGCTAATTCCTCTATGAAGAAGTAATTCATGTTTTGTGCATGATAATATCTGGTCATCTTCATTGTCTATGTAAAAACAAATGAAAGTTATAATTTTTGATAAAGTAAATTATGCAAACATCATTTATATTTTTATATTTGGATTTGACATAAGGCAATATAGAGGACTCATGCAAAAGTTGCGTGAGCACACACGTGCATACACACACACACACACACACACACACGAACACAGAAACTCAAGCATTTTTCTCTGCCTCAGTCTTCTTCCTTTCTGAATAACCTATAATATCAGTAATCCTCAATTGAAATAATATAAGACTCCCCACCCCCCAAAAAAGTCTGCTATGGAAAATTTCAATTGATACAAGTGTTTCTAATGAAATATTTACAAATCCTTTAAATTCAGCAATGACAGCATTATGGAGGGTATGGTATTGGAAAGAAAATGCCCATCTGAAGTAGAAAACTATTGAATAAAACTCACAACACATTAAAAAATATTTTTCAAGGCTAATTTCCATTTACCTAATAGGTTTTTCCATAAAAATTTATAAAATACTCTAAAAGAGAAAACAGAACATTCAAATAATCTTTGATTTAGATTTTTCATCTTCACAATCAAGGAGTTGGACTAGATGCTAAGTTTTTTTCAGCTTTAATATTCTATGATTTTAGTGAACATAAGAAGATGTTAAAATGTGTCCCAATGTTTAAATCAACTGGTAATAGAAAATGCAGCTAAAAATTGTGAAGGTTGACATTTAACCCTTTTAATGTACAGATAACAAAGATAAGTCCCAGGAAAGTAACACGCCTACCCGCCCGCCCATCTGGGTATCAGTGTCACTGCTTCCACCTCTCCCGAATCATCAAATACTTTGCTTTTATTGTTTGTTTTGTTTTGTTTTGTTTTGTCTTATTAAAGACTCCAGATTCCTACTCCTCACCCCTGGAAATTCTGCCTTAGTAATTATGGGGTGAGGTCAGTAATCTAATTTTGAGAAAGAGATCCTCAATATTCAAAATTGTAGTTAAAGGTCAAAACCACAGATCCATTACAGATTCCCTGGAATACAGTGATGAAGAGGGACAGGTATGCCTCACAGTTCTTGGGCAGGTTCTCCAGTGTTACACAGCAACATCTTCCTAACAAGTCCATCATTTTATACCGCAGGCTACCACCTCTCCAGTGTTTTCTCCCTTCTGGTTGAAATCATATTATGTGAGTAACATCACTTGGTATCTAGGTTACTTTCTCTGGTAGGCTTCCTATGGAAAGAGATATTCTGGAAAGAAACAAGAATTAAAAGAGTAGATCTATAGCCCTTACTTACCATCTGTTCCAACCTCACATTCTAGAAGTTTAATTCAGCTTAACTCTTGGAAACTGTCCTTATTGGAAAGTATGAATCTGTCTATCACCATGCAACAGCCTGGAGCTTTATAGGACAGTCTGGGATTTGGAAATGACTTACTACCTCAAGTCATGGTGTATTATGAAGTGACTTTCTCTAAATTGTTAAAATATATCATAAGGAGAAGCTTCTTTGAATACTTTTGTCTTAAGAATTTCTTAACCTTTTTGGTAATAAAAGTAAAGCTTAAACAGACTTACAATCTAATAACATAGTTGGCTTTACAGAGAGACAATGGAGAACAAAGTTACTTTTAAGATCTTCCATGCAGAATCCCAGTCCCCTCAACATTCATATTTCTGTCATTCTCAGTTTAGATTTGATGTGTTCACTGAATGGAAATTGTGCCAAAATACATATTTCTGTCCCTTATGCTAATCATGGGTGCCAAAGTTTAGTTTAAGGCTTTTTTATGTAGCACGTTGTAAGAAATATATTATAATTCAGCTTTCAATGAAATATCATTCCTGATCTTACTTGTTCATAAAAATGTAAATTAGTCTTTTTTTCTGCTAATTTTAGAAAAAAAGGTTAGAAAAATGGAAAAGTAAATGACTTACCTCTAAATATGTATGACTCCAAATAAAATAGCGGAACTAAAGCTTACTACAATTTTAACAAAAAAGGTAGAAATCAACATAATTGAATTTCTTTTTATATTCCATATAAAGAATGCTTGTTACTGAATTTGACAAAATAAATTCATTTTTTAAGTTATGTTGTTTATAAGGGAGACTCATGATAACTGGCTCTGAGGCTCAAATATACAGTGAAAGCCACGATAGACTACCAAATCATGTAGAAAAGCTTTTGTGAACATTTTGTTTGCTTTAGAAGACTGATCTGTTAAAACTGACTTTTTTTTTTTTATTTAAAAGAGTAAAACAGGAGATTGATGGTATTATCCTTATATGTGTTAAGAAACTATGAGTTGTATATAGAAATCTACCAATGTTAGATATGTGTATAATTCTTATTTTTCAATGTAGCTGGGCCCAAGGAAGTGGTTAATGAATATACATACCTCAAATGCCTTAAGTGGATACCTATGAAAAGGTATACAAAATATAAATAGTACCGTATATTTTCAAAAATTTTAAATAAACACAAAGAATATATAGGTATGTATACATGTTATAATTTCAAAGTCAACACTAGCACATAAATTTTCTTATCTAAATAGATACTAAGGTACTTCCTATTTCAACACATGCACCTACAAACACATGGCCATGCACATAACCTTGCTTTCTGCAGCTTGCAAGAAAGTTAGAATATACAATATAGTACATTGTTTCTACTTAAATCATATTGGCAAATTAATGAGGATGGCATTAAAAAATTCTGATCTAAGAAATCAACATACAGGAAGATAATTATTCCATAGATTAAAAACACTGAAGACTGATGGAAAGTTAAGATTTAAATCGTTTGTCCCAGTAATGTCAAAAGATACATAAGAGACACGATTGGCTGCAAACACTCAGAATGCTCTGTTTGGCAAATGGGACTTTTGTAATCTAACAATCCAGGCCAGAGACTCAGACCATCGATGCTTCAGATCTCAGAGAAAAAGTATAGTTGTGGGCAGTTCTTCGCAGGGCAGGGGGTGCCGATGGAGATCTGGATGCCCATCTGGATGGGAGACGGCGATTTGCTGGTCTAGCAGGTCGGGAAAAACCTTTTCCCTGTGAGGATTTCACGGCCATGGATTCCTAAGACACAAAAAAAGACATTCACCTCACTCTACCAGCACCAAAAATGGGCTTAATTTTTTACGGATCCCAGCAATGGGATTAATATATTAGTATATTTACAGCAAGAAAAAGCATCAAAAACTAAAAAAGATATTTGTCTAATATTGGTGGTCATCAATGTTTTAATCAGAGCAATTCATTTCTAATATGGAATGTGGCATTTAATAATCTTGCAGATATCTTCACACTGACAAATTTTAATACAATGGATCACTTTTTAGAACTATAATTTCAGTATTCAGAAATTCATATTAGATAACTTTGATATGATGGAACTACAGACATTTCTTAGTGGAATATTATGTTTCAGTGTTATTTAAAAACAAAAAGATAATTTATAGAAGAAATCTTGTTTATTTTTGTCAAGTTATTAATACCTTTAGAGGTCATTAGTGAAATACACACAAAACAAATGATTTATCTTAGCTGTCTTTTTTTTCCCATCAAGAACCATGGTTATTGGCTCTCGAAAAATTTGTAATTGCTAATGAAGAGTTACTATCGATACTAGGCATCATGTGATGACTGAAAATCTTTTCTTTCCCTTCTCTTTGTTTCATTGCTTTCTTCTTTTCTTTTTATTTTAACAGAAGAAAAGCAATCTTAGACCCTTGCAATTAAAAAAAAAATGTTAAAACTTCCATGACACATTTGATACCTTTGGTTCTTTCGACCTTTTTAACAAAGCCTTTGCTCTTTCATCTGAGACAGGCAATGAGGATGGCCTTAATTTCTATGACAATAGCCTGCATTTTCTTTTTCTTTCTTTGGAATTTTATTTTTCTAGAGGATCAGGGGAAGAAGAACTACTTCTAAGGATTATACTCTTGAAAGTAGACTGGAATAAAAAAAAAGGATAACTTTATTCAAATACCATTTTTTTTTTTTTTGGCAAATTCAATGCTAAAAATTTATACAAATAGAAATGACCTTAAAAAATCTAAGCTATAATTTTTTATTTCCATGTACTGCCTGTTAGCTCTACAAATAAGGGAACTTTATAATGTACTATTTTAAATGATGTGTTTTACCCATATTCTCATTCATGTGACTAATCTCATGAGAGAAAACATGAATCAAATGCTGAAAATGACGGAACAAATCATAGCTAATAACTGAAAGTGCAAATTATTTTACAAATATGTTTTCCATATACTTTTAAAAACATAAACACTTTAAAAGAATAAAATTCTATAAATCAAAACACATATACTCAGAATATTTTTTCAAGTAACTTACAACAAACATTTGATCTTCTTGAGATTCTTAAGCCCATTTATTATATCTATGTTATCCTATTTCAGAATTTTAAGTTATAATGCGTTACTCCTAGTCTTAAAAACTATAACAAGTTCACATTGAGTTACAATCCTAAGGTTTATATTTACTCACAAATTAAGGGTCAAGAAGTTGAGAAGATGCCAAAACATGTGCTTACATTCTATTTAGATGAACGAGCAATTGATTGAACTCTGATCCATGATTAAATATGAATGCAGTTCTACCAAAATGTATTAATTGCTTTCTCACCTCTGTTATCTTTTTCCAATCTATTCCTTGCTTCACTTGCTGTACCCCACACATAGATGTCTTTTGCTGAAGCTCTTGTTCTATTTGGAGCATTTCTAAATGGTGACTCAACGTGGCCTCACCACTAACATCAGAATTACATCTGGTCCAATTATCTTGAAAGCATTTAGAATTTTGCAATGCAGATTCTGTTGACATCTCATAGGTTTTCAGCAGCTTTTCCACAACACCATAATTTGACCTAGAATCAGCTGATCTTGGTCGGCCAGATAAATTACTTGGTTTCCAGTCATGCTCGTGGAGCATATTCCTGTAATTGCTAGGATTTATGTGTTCCTGCATTTGTCTGACTAGGCCTGTTGTGGATTTTTTGGTGGGATTATCAGGCACATTTTCACTAGGTACAGTCATGTGGGCACTGGTTTTCAGGATGTCAGACACATTGTCATTTTCTGATATGTTACCTGTAATTAAGGTATCACAGGGCTTAAGATCTTGAGATGATTCTGAATTGCTTTGATTTTGCTGTATTGCATGACAGTTTCTATCTGTTCTAAATACGGTTCTATTAAATTCATCAGTCTTTGCTGCCAGCTTTTCATTCCTAGTAGTCCTATCAAAGCCACAACTGAAACTTCTAAGTGGGCCACTGCTCTGTGTCACCAAGGAGCTATAGTCATTGCTTAGATAAAGGTCAGGATGAGATTTAGCAGGGTGATCTAGTATCATCTTTTCATATTTTGACTTATTGGGAGTAGAGCAGGTTTTCTGAAACCACAAGGTAGAGGGGCTGTTTTTTGCACCTATCACCGTGTCGCATGACCATATGCCCCATCCAACATTTTCATTACATGGAGGCTTGTTATCTATTTTGTCTTCTGGTGCCAAAGAAGAAAACATAATACCATCTTTCATAGTCTTCCCTTCATTTAAACACAGTGTAGACATTCCATCATTCCTCAAAAGGAAATGAGGACTGCAGTTCCTTTCACCTTGACCCTCATGGGCCACCCAGTTGTTGTGGTCTAAACTTTCCTTCAGACTTTCATGTGCTTGTTCAGAATATGAGCTGGGAAAATTTCGAGATGTGCTTCTTGGTGGAGGAACAGGTGGAGTTTCATTTCTTTGTAGATCAACTGTATCAGTTCCACATTTTTTCATAAAATTGCTTTGCAGCATATCAGTACAGCTCAGATTCTTTCTATTTTTCTGCTTTTCATCTTCTGAATTGATTGGAAGAATGTACTGGCCATTGTTGATCATGTGGTCTCCATGAGGCAGATTAATTACATTTGGCATTTCTTGGAGAATAGAATCTGACTTCATCCTAAACAATTATAAAACATGGTATATTAGTGATAACTTTATTTAGAATAAGCTCTTAAAAGAACCCATGGCTTAAGCAATAAATGTCTGCTACAGGAAAATTAGTCACAATTTCTTGAAATGTCATTTTTATATAAATCCCCTAGTCAAAACCTCCAAGTCTTTTTTACTGTAGGATAAAGCCCATCTCTCACTGTTGCATTCAAGGATTTACAAACTCTCATACAAACTCTTTCCAATCTTGTCCTTCATTTTTTTTTTTTTTTTTATTATTCGAAACTTCACTTATACCCAGCCTAGATCTTGTAATCTCTTGGGTGAGTGCTACTGGCATTTCCATTTCTATCGGTTTTCTCTAGTCATTTCCTTACCTCTGCTCTGCCTACTGAATTCCTATTTATTATGTCATGTAAGCTCAAGTTCCTCCCCCTTGAATTTGAAATAACATTCTAAGTAGTATGACAGAAATATGAATAGAAGTGCAATGAGACAGAGTAATTTTAAATGGAAGGTGTCATTTGGGCTTGAAAGAAAAGTTAAGAATTTTTTTGATGAGTAAACAGCAGATAGGCAAAGTGAGCTGCAACAAATCCATTATGGTATTCGAGGAACAGTGAGTACTTTGGCATGGATGAGTTATAAAGCAGAGTGAGGAAGGCAATGGAAAATGAGAGAGAAACATGAGGTTAAATTGTAATGTCTCTGAGGATTTATTAAGGATTTTGAACATATTAAGGATTTTGAACTTTTCCCTAAAGGCCATGAAGTAACAAGGAAAACTTTATATTTGATATGATTTGTAAAACAAAACCGGCAAGTAAGTCTTTTCTGAGTTCAATCAAAATAAAAACCTAAATATATTAACAGTAGGGATTCACAAATTAAAGTTAATTAATCATATTGATAAATATCAATCATATTTATATGTCTTCAACTGATAAAATATTATGAGTTAGCTTACAATAAAGTACAGATAAATACTGAACAGAGAATAGTAGGCAAAAGCTAAATGGGCAAGTAGAGGCCAAAATTATGTATGAAATATGATTAGAAAATCTATTGTAAATCAGTACAAAAATTCTCTCTGAGCTTCCTAACAGCTAAATAAAAATAAGGGTACACATTGCTACAGCTTTCTAATAGAAGCATACTGACTCGCTAGGAGATAAATGTTTACCTTAGAACAATTCGTCTTTACTTGTAGAAAATTCCAATTTATTTTTTAATTTAGCTAAAACTTACTTTTATAAGTATAAGGGTGTTTCTGAACTGAAACAGCATTTTTATAGCATCGTATATATGTGTGTACATATTTACAATATATTGTTCTGAAAATTATGTGTTTCCATTATATACATAAAAATACAAAAAAAATAAATGACCCTTAGGTATAAAATATTTCAATAGAACATCATTATGTATTAAAATACCACATCTGTAAATCTGACATCGTCTAATGATGTATTTAAGTGGATTAGTCCAGTTTATACTTTTCCTTGGCCAAATATTCAAAAAGAAAAGAACTGTATTAGAAAGTATATATTAATTTATTATGGAGGCTATTTAACTAAATACTAAAAATGTATTCCTAATAATCAAATGACAAAGAGAATTAGAAGGTTTGCTTTAAGAATTAGAAAACAGAAATATACAATTAAAGATTTTATCTCCTAAGATAACAAACTTTAATAACTCATTGTTAATTCTCATTAACAAAGTGTAAGGAGGTGGCACCTTAAACTGATTAACTGAAAACAGTATTTTTCTTGATTTTCCAACATAAAATAATCAGAGATGTACCAGCCTACCTTCTGTGGTTGGACCTCTTTCGAATTTCCTCTTGAAAGCTGCATAATTCTTCACTAACTTTGGCAAGTTCTTCAAGAGCCTTTATATATATAAGCAATAGCGTGTTAGCACATTGAAATGTTGGAAATGTAAATATTTCTTTAGAAACAGTTCTAGGTCAGTCACATCTTACTTACTGTGTTGAGGGCAACAGAACAGCCCTTGCTTGCTTCCTCAGAAGTCCTCAGGTCAGGCCAGATCTCACAGTCCTTTTGATTGTCTGTGGCCAAAAGATCCATAAACCCTACTTTTGATTTTTTTGTTGCTTTTTGTTCCTTACATATTTGATTTCCTTCACTGAGTAAGCTCTGCTCTGTTTTATTTTCTTTTTCCAGATCATTCCTGTGATTCATCCCTGTAAATTCACACTGCCCTGAATTGAGATAATTTGGAGAAGATTCCACCTCTTTATCTTGAATGGCCTTCTCACGATCAAAATTAATGACCTTAGCACGTTCCTTCATGTTGATTTTCCTCCGAAGCTTTACTTCATGGCAAAGCTGTAAGGAAAACAAAGATAAAACTTTTTTCTCCCCTAATTCACTTTGCCAATTTTTTTGACACTAAGCTCACTGTTTTGAGTCCTCTTTGCCATATGACTATATACTACCTTGGAGTGTTAATGCTTATACCTCTGAATAGTGCTTCTAAAATCGAGATTAGCCAGAGCAACTTCGATAAACCATTAAGACTATTTTCAGTAGGTCAAGCATGGATAGTAATTTCTGTCTTTCTGAGTAGAAATCAACTCATTCAAATGTACAATAAACTTGTATATATAGGTGTCAGTGAGATATAGAAGCACTGTTACAGAATTGGAATGACTCAAATCCACTACTGACCATGCTAATTGCTTTCAGTGAGAAACAAGACTTGAACACTAAAGTCGTGTTTTTAAACATATGATCCCACCTGCATGTCAACATTTAACTATCTAAATAATTGACGATCTCATATAGTCAGTTCATTCTGCTCTCTAAGTAGACATTTGCAATCAAAGGATGTTTCCTTTGGGAGTTACGTTGGTAAGGGATAGGCAATACCAAATGCCAAAGCTATACATATTCAAAAAGTTTCTCATCCTGATTAAAACAAATGTGACCTTATCCCATGTGAATTAAAAGAACTCTAAGGCTTTGATCATCTATTTCTCTATGTGAAAGTAGATTCCAAATTATTTCTTGATGAGAACTTAGTTTAACCTGTAGGCACTAATTCAGCTCATCCCTGAACTGAGGAAATTAGTGACTTTCTCTTCTGGCTTGAATTCTGGGAGATCTTGTCACATTTCAAAGGAGACTATCAAATAACTATTAAAGCAAATGACTCTACATTTTACAGTCACAATCTATATCTGAGCTACACTTATTATTTAAGGAATAACAGATTTATTGCTTCTCAATATTTACCTAAATCTCAGATGAGAGAAGCTCTATACATAGTTGATGGCTGAAGAACATATAGTACATTTATTTCTCTAGATACTTATAAATCTATCTTTGAATGAAGTCAGGATAGCATCAAATTGCAGTCACGAATCAATTGCTTTGGCCCCTGTAAAATTACTTATATTGAACTGTTATGTGAATTATGATTTTGGCTGACCTTGAGGATATTTTAAGCAACAACTTTCAAAAGTACCATGTTAAATCTAAGAATGCTATTGGTGACATCCTTTTTTTGAAGAGTCAAGGGTGAAAACAAAATTGCTTTCATTTCGAAATCAAGGACAGACGTGCTATTCCTGGGAAATAAGTTTGCTTTGTTTTCTGAATATAGAGAAATATACATCTGAAAATTTTTGTGTTAGTTACTAGAAAGGTAGATTTGCTGCACCCATTTTACATATGATCCTTCCTTTTGTCTTTATCTCTTCTTTCTCTTTTTGCTTTAGCATACTGTACCTTATGCAGAATTTTATATACCATCGTAAATACTCTTGGAAACTAAAATGAGGTATGACTAAACAAATAACATAATGTTATAGATAGAAAACAATTTACTTTGCGTAAGAGAATCTGTATTATCTGGTACTCAGCCGTTGTCAAGGGTATTCTAACCATTTCAACAAAGATGATAAGCAGGAAAGATTGCAATGTGATTAAAAAAATAAATTCCCAGGCATCTATGAACTCTGTGCAGGGTTTCTATCTAAATTATTCCAGATTTCAAATGATCCAAGTATGTACATATTAATTTTGCAATAGCGAATACAGTGACTATGGATAGTGGCTGAACAGAGAACCATTAGCATACTAACACCTAATGCTGGAAACTCTCACTAGATGAGTATTACTCAGGATCACCAGAGGGACATGTGTACTCCCAGAAATCTACATTCTCTAATACATGGTAGAATAATTTGCATCTGATTTAATACACAGAACTCAGTAATAAATGTTGAACAAATACAATGGTATGTTATAATTTTTCCAAGTGTTCATTTTAAATTTTAGTTTCAAACAAATTGTCCTGATTCTCTGCGACACGTGAGGATATTTTCCTTCTCTTTTCTTCAATCTTTTCTACTCCCAGCACTGTAGTCTATAAGAAGCATGTATCTTCTTAAAGTCTACAAAGCTGGGAGCAGACAAAAAAAATCTATGTTAGTATGATAAGGAGAGCACAATGCTAGTATTTAGGCATTAAAGAACATCATCTATGGGTATTCTGGGTAAGCACATTATCTAAACATATTCCCCAGTTATAGAGCTGTATACTGCAAGCAGCAAGACATAAATAGCTCTACAGCCACTGTTTCCAGGTGAAGAAAAAGCATTACAGCCCTTGTCTCCTAGATACAGAAAGGAACAGTATTTCTAGGGACTATCATCCTAAGTATAAAGTGTGTTTAACGCCTGCTAATTAATAAGGCGAATGTTTACCACAGAGGGAATCTACAGAGCTGTCAGAATAATTACTTTACAGGGATAGATTAAACCAGACAGCGGACTGTTTTTGATACATAGCTTCAACAATTGGCTAGACTAATCTTGACTCCCTTAATCGTTTTGCTTGGATGTTAGAATTACCTGAAGCTGTTACTAACTAGACCTTACAAACCTTTAGGAGCCAATGACCCAAGACTTCAGGTTTCTAATTGAAGTTGTGGATTCTTATTTGACTTAGGTATCTCCTTGTTGATTCAACCTGATCTCTGAGTGGAAGAATTAAGAGACTGAGAAACACATTTTCCAAACTGTAGAGGGACAAGCAATGGATTCTCCTTTCAATTTCTAATCATATACTACATGCCTGCCTTTTCAGCTCTATTTTGGAGGAATAGTTAAATAGCTACTCTTTTTTGACTTCTTTCGTGTAGCATGCCAATTTGTATTTTATTCACAACTAATTATATGGCTGTTAATAAGAAAAAAATATTTGCAGTATAAACACATAAAGCACTAGTTTTGATTGCCTCTGAATAAGGCCAAGGAATCTTAAAATAATTATTTTGGCAATTTGCACAAAATCATGTAAGTCAATACCACGGATGTTACCAGAAGAAAGCAAGATAAGTATAAATACTTTTCAGTTGGAACGAGCTTGAATATGCATCAATGTAAACATTTAAAGAAAATATTCTAGGCCCAACGAGCTGAGAAATGGTTATTGGAGATAAAATAACTATTTGTATCAGAGATCTGTCATTTTTCATTACTCTTTTCCTAATAAATGTGGCACACCCTACCAGAATAAAAATCATGTCCACTGCCATTTTCTGTTTGAGATATGACACTCCTTTTGATTATATCGAATTATCTAGTATGTGATTACCTTTAGTAAATATTATTCATAAATCATCTCAGAAAAAAATCTACATTTTAATGCCCAATTATAATTTTACTAATATATGTTTCACCAATCATATCTTTATGTTTTCCTCCTGGACACAGTATTTGAAAACTCATGCAAAATACATACCTCACTTTTGATACCAAGGCCCTCTAGTCAGAAAATAATAAATTGATACATTTTAGAGTGACATTTAAAGTTCTTAACTTTCATACAGGGCTACAAAATAAGCCTAGTCCCTATGCAAATATCTAGTAAATATCACTGAGATATGCATCTCTTAAGTGGAATAAACAAAAACACTTTACAAGACAAAATGAACTTCAAAAGAACTTTCATTCTGATCTGTAAGTTTCCAATGTATTTGAAACAAATCAACTTGTACCTCTTCTATCTTTTTCTGCATTATCTTCCATTGGCTTTCCCATTCCTTCCGTTCATTGTCAAACTGGTCCAGTAACTCCATCTTTTCCTTGTGCCAGTCAGTCTCTGTGTTCTCCCATTGCTTATGCAGATCCATGGCAACCGTGTGTTAGTGAAGTGGTATTTCTGCTCGTCTCTGCCTTCTCTTAACTGTTTCTTGGAAGCTTGAAGTTGTTCTACTTGAAGCAGTCTCACTTGCCTTTAAAATAAAGCCTAACATAAACATAACGAGAGAGTTCCAAATTCATGTGCTTTCTGGGAATATTTTATCATTTTATCAAGAACCATTGACATAAACTATAGGAAAATTAGACATAAAAGAAGAGATCTACTTAAGAAGAAAATAAAGCAGTCAAAAAATTATTGTCCAAAGTTTCTTTTCACTGTTATGAGACCAGACAGCAAAATTATAGTGGACAACATGGTTAAATGTAGATGTGAGATATAAGTATTCCTTTAACCACCTAATGTAAACATAGAATTTTTCATGAATATCTAAGAGTAGAAGTCTGAAATTCAATTGTATGGTCACATCTACGTAACGGTGGTAGATTCTGCTGCAACAGAATTACTCCTGCTCAGATGCAACTAGATTATATATTTTTATGACTTAGTCCTGAGACAGTACTGGACTAGAGTATCAATTTTACATTAGAGTTCAAGCCCATGCCAAATGCGATTACTGAATTAAGATCCTGAAGTTGGTTGTCAATATGGAACTGGGGTATTAGCGAGAAACCAAACTAAATCATAAAAAAAATTTTCATTATTTTACTTTATGAAGTAAAATGCAGAAGCAACAAAACTATCCTGGGAGCGAGATGCTAAAATTTATCCATGCTCACTTCTCCTTCTAAAAGATTATATACCATAACCTATTTAAGATAGCTGAATACAGATAATTGAAGAAAATATTTTGCTCAGTTTGAAGGGAAATCTTCAAATACATTAAGAAGTGACTAAAATATTTAGATTCCTAGCATTGAGGGTATGCGCATTCAGAGTTTGAAGATTCAATTTAAAATACCAGATTAGTAACTGTTATAAATCATCTAAAATCTCTGAGGTTTAGTTTGTTTACATTAAAATGAGGCTAATCATGGGGTTCTAAAGATTACATGACTTACAGAATGCAAAGTAGTTTGAGAAATTTAAACAATTTCCCTATCTTTTTGCTTAAAAAATCTTGCTCTGACTTCCACTGTAATTTTTATTAATAAAGTCATATGCTTTTTTTAATGGGTAGCAAAACATATCTAACATGTCTGAATCTCCATCTGAGATAATCAATGCCTATAAGAAGTCAAATTCTTCAGTTTTGTAGGCCATAGCCAAAATGCCTTAACTTAGCAGGTGGTAGCTTATGCTAATTATGAGCAAAGTTCTTAAAAGTCAATAGCTGCCTGGGTACTGGAATTGTGTAATGAAGCCAATGCCCCATTTCGTAGACACAGAAGATGCCTGCATATTTCACATCCCAAAAATAAGATAAACATTGAAGACTAATTTAATTCTTTGTCAGACTGTTCTGAATATGCATATCTGTGTAGTGAACTATTCCAAACATATATTTTCTGAGCTGCAATCTATCAATGAATTATAACAGACTGATAAGTATAAAAATGTTGGTGCTATATATAGGGTTCCACCTTTAAAAACATCCTAATAATATTGGGGTTTATAATGTTACTCTTCTCTCAAACAATTTGCTACAGATACTTTGATCATTTTTATCTATTTTTTTGGCACTCATAATACTGTGGCTAATTCAGTCAAGATGAAGAAGAAATTTCAGATTTAGCCATTAAAGATGCTAGCATGTCTCATTTTATCCACTTAGTCATGCTTTTCTATAATCTCATTTTCTATACTGTCATCCTTTCTTTTTCTTTCTACCCTCCAAATTATGAGCAAGTGACCACAAGTGCCTGCCATATCAAATGAAAGTTGCCTCAAAATAAACACATCACAAAGACCTAATAAAATGAAGACAGTAAAGAACATACAGAATATTGCTTTTTATTTCGGTGAATCTGTCGGTGATCATGATTACCTAGTAATCTTTTAGACTCATTTAATAACCATTCACAGGATATGCAGACAGTGATTATTTTCAGAGACTGGCAGACTACTTTAAAACTGTATGTAATTAACTGTGAGCGGAAACTATCTTGCTTATTAGCAGGTATTTAACACTGGAACGTCTTAGGAAGAGTGGAGTGGTTTAAGACATCGAGAGATAGTTGCAGATTTAACCAAAGAAGTTATATAAAGGCAGTAGACTGATATCAAGTTACCTGGAAAAGAGGTCCTATGATACTCTATATTTTATCTTAACGGTCTTTAAAACACTGGGAATATTCAGAAATCATCCTAAAGTTTCTCCTCTAATTGTGTAGCAAATGGCTCCATTTTTTATTTCTATTCCTCTTGAACCACTTCCAGAACAAGATTAAAAGGTGCCAGACCCTTCTCTTTTTCATTTACCTGAAGATGATCATCCAGAAAAACTCTAAATCAGACTTGTTCGTAGTAACTGCACTGTACATAAACCCAGGTAATGTTCCCAAAGCAGATAGAATCCTGCACTTAATTGCGAAAGGCCAAATCCATCACAATATAGAGAAGGGCTGATCTACAGAGCTTCCCCTTCCAGGGCCAGAGCAATTCTAGTGACAAGAATTGTAATGGTTATGAATAAAAAACAAGCCTTTGAGAGAAATTCCTATAGAACAATATCTGTGCCAATTTTTGTGGGAGTATTTATTTCACTCTCTTACCATCTCTGTCTTGTCATAAATGTCAGATGAAATTGGCTGAATATATTGCTTTCTTCTCTAAAAATAAAGTGGGTGCCATAGAGTTGTTGTGAGAATTAAGTGAGCAAGAGAATGCTTAATAAAAGTGCCTAAAACTGTTTGGATCATAGCAGGTGTTTGATAAATGCCTAATTCTTGGTCTCTTCCTTTTGTTCCTTTCTCCTTTTATCTTTTTTTCTCGTCTTTCATCTCACCCTCTTTTTTTCCCTTCGTTATTTTTCCCTTAAAATGAAATTGATGATTTTGATCACTATTTAATTAGAAAATTGACAGAAGCAAGTCTAATGTGTAAACTCTTAAATTTTCAATGATTTTCCTCTGTCCTCAGTATTTTCAAGTATTTTAAGGATATGTGGTAAATTAAATATTTAGGAAAATTTTTGTTGGTAAAAATTTGAATAGACAAATCTTATATAAAATTGATTTTGTTTTAATTTCCTTGAATATAT